AAGAAAAATGCAGCAACTGGATGAGTATTCAAGGACACAATAACAACAGACTCTGCGGGGATTTCTCTTCTTATTGCTGACTGAACTTCCCCAATATTCTCGTAAAAATGGACCTTGTAATATAAAAAGTAAAGAACAGTGGAAGCAATTTTTCTAAATTTCATCCTTTTTTATACTCATGTTGCAAAATTGTAGCAATTTTTCCTTCAACTGTATTATACAATTCTCTGGTACTTTCTTTATAGTTATTCTTTTTTTTAGGAGGTTGCTTTTTGTTTTAATAGCTAAACTGGAGACAAAGCCCCAGTAAGCTGAAAAAAAGACCATTCAACCTAATTAGAATCAATCATTGAAATATATTTAATTCCTTCATCTGAACTGTTTGTGTTCAATGATGATGCTGAAAAAGGTACATCAGTCTTGGTTAGAGGCTGTAAACTGCAGTCTCTTTATCAATATTCCCCCAAGCAGGGCTCAGGTGGGGTCACAAAATTTAGGTCACCTAACCTAGAAGTTAGGACTTGTAGAGCTGATGCACAATCTATTGCACAAATGGGACTTAAAGTCACCTGAAGACACAATCTTGGAAGCAGAACTCACGAATCGGGTTGCTAGAAAAAAATCTTTGGAACTGCTACTGTCTGTACAGGAAAAAGTCTCTTAAGCTGAGGAGAACAAAGTCGACATTTCATTCTAAAATAAAGTGCATTGCTCTTCCAAAGGTCTAGAGGAATACAAGAGAATAATGTGTCTTTGTTCACAGTTACAGGAGATAGATATGCACCATTCCATGCAAATGCATAAACTGCACATAACTACTCTATAGAAGTGAAACCTGTAGACCAGTGCTGTTCTGTTGTATTTTGAAAATGCCCAGTTTATTCTATAATTCATATTATGTGCTCATTTATCTGATGAGTTACATTAATACCAGTGAGACTCATAGGCTTAATATGCTCCATGTTTCAGGAAGAATGACATAGAAAATGCACAGAATAATTTGCATTGCATTTTTACCCTGCAGTTCAACCAAAAAAAGTGTATATTGGTCTCGGTAAATCTGTTCAGAATAACATTTTCTTTGGACTACTGTGAAACTGGAAGATATTCATATATCATATATTAATCTTTATGTGTATATGAAATGTGTTTTAAAGGCAATCCCTATGTACTGCTTTTTCATCTGTTCAGAATAACATTTTCTTTGGACTACTGTGAAACTGGAAGATATTCATATATCATATATTAATCTTTATGTGTATATGAAATGTGTTTTAAAGGCAATCCCTATGTACTGCTTTTTCAAATGCATGTTGTTGTGCTCATGTAATTATGTATAGATATTGCAAACAAAATATTTGGAACTTTTTTTGTTGTGGATTGAAAACTAAAATTTTCAAAGGTTTCTTGAAAAGAAACTGTGCCAAAACTTTTGTTTTCAGATAAAACAGATTCTCACTCTTTCTCTCTTAGGAAATCCATCCTAGACACAGAACTCTGTCTTGTTAAAACGTTGATCTAATCAAACCATTTTGACAAAAAAAAACTTAAATTTGATGAGATAGTAGCTAACAAAACAGAACTAAAACTTTTTTATGAAGTTTGTTTGCAGGTCTCATTGCATTAGCTGCAGTACTCATGCTTAAAATTAAGCACGTATTGGTTTATAGGTTTGGGATTGATGTGTTTGTGGCATAGTCAAAAAAGGAATTTTCACACAATATATCACACATACCAAACACACAATACCACACTATACCAAAGCAATCATCGGTTAATAATTCAGGCATTTAAATGCTGGGGAAAACTAACTATGTTTTGTCAAATATTTTGAAAATGGAAAGTCACTGTCATGCAGTTTGCTGACTGTGCTGGAGTTTAAATGTTGACATTGTAACAGAAAGAGATTCAGTTTCAGACACTTCAACTTTCATTCATATAATTTAGGACCCACCACAGCTTCTTTAAGATACGTTACAAAAATACAGCTCCTTTGGGGAAAAAAGCACAAGGAGCCATCCAGGCTAATTCTCATTGAAATATATTTAATTCCTTCATCTGAACTGTTTGTGTTCAATGATGATGCTGAAAAAGGTACATCAGTCTTGGTTAGAGGCTGTAAACTGCAGTCTCTTAATCAATATTCCCCCAAGCAGGGCTCAGGTGGGGTCACAAAATTTAGGTCACCTAACCTAGAAGTTAGGACTTGTAGAGCTGATGCACAATCTATTGCACAAATGGGACTTAAAGTCACCTGAAGACACAATCTTGGAAGCAGAACTCACGAATCGGGTTGCTAGAAAAAAATCTTTGGAACTGCTACTGTCTGTACAGGAAAAAGTCTCTTAAGCTGAGGAGAACAAAGTCGACATTTCATTCTAAAATAAAGTGCATTGCTCTTCCAAAGGTCTAGAGGAATACAAGAGAATAATGTGTCTTTGTTCACAGTTACAGGAGATAGATATGCACCATTCCATGCAAATGCATAAACTGCACATAACTACTCTATAGAAGTGAAACCTGTAGACCAGTGCTGTTCTGTTGTATTTTGAAAATGCCCAGTTTATTCTATAATTCATATTATGTGCTCATTTATCTGATGAGTTACATTAATACCAGTGAGACTCATAGGCTTAATATGCTCCATGTTTCAGGAAGAATGACATAGAAAATGCACAGAATAATTTGCATTGCATTTTTACCCTGCAGTTCAACCAAAAAAAGTGTATTCGGTAATCGGTAAATCTGTTCAGAATAACATTTTCTTTGGACTACTGTGAAACTGGTCATATATCATATATTAATCTTTATGTGTATATGAAATGTGTTTTAAAGGCAATCCCTATGTACTTTTTTCAAATATGCATGTTGTTGTGCTCATGTAATTATGTATAGATATTGCAAACAAAATATTTGGAACTTTTTTTGTTGTGGATTGAAAACTAAAATTTTCAAAGGTTTCTTGAAAAGAAACTGTGCCAAAACTTTTGTTTTCAGATAAAACAGATTCTCACTCTTTCTCTCTTAGGAAATCCATCCTAGACACAGAACTCTGTCTTGTTAAAACTTGGATCTAATCAAACCATTTTGACAAAAAAAAACTTAAATTTGATGAGATAGTAGCTAACAAAACAGAACTAAAACTTTTTTATGAAGTTTGTTTGCAGGTCTCATTGCATTAGCTGCAGTACTCATGCTTAAAATTAAGCACGTATTGGTTTATAGGTTTGGGATTGATGTGTTTGTGGCATAGTCAAAAAAGGAATTTTCACACAATATATCACACATACCAAACACACAATACCACACTATACCAAAGCAATCATCGGTTAATAATTCAGGCATTTAAATGCTGGGAAAAACTAACTATGTTTTGTCAAATATTTTGAAAATGGAAAGTCACTGTCATGCAGTTTGCTGACTGTGCTGGAGTTTAAATGTTGACATTGTAACAGAAAGAGATTCAGTTTCAGACACTTCAACTTTCATTCATATAATTTAGGACCCACCACAGCTTCTTTAAGATACGTTACAAAAATACAGCTCCTTTGGGGAAAAAAGCACAAGGAGCCATCCAGGCTAATTCAGGAGAAATAACATTTAATAACTAACTGATTGTGAAGACCCATTGACTTGACGAATGGTAAGTAATGTATGGAGTGAAAAAGTCTTAAAGAACATCACAGGTATAGTAACAAAGTGGAAAGTCCCTAGCTGTCTTTTTTAAACTTCTTTGGAGGGGTTTATTAACGTGATAGATATCTATATGAATTTCTCTTTCTCTTTGCATAATCATTTCTAATGCACACACAATCATTTGACATGGGAGTTAGAAGATGTGAAGATTGTAGATGGACATCCATTTCTTTGATTTTTAAGTGTTAATAAGGCAATACTACATATATCCACTAGGTTACTGCTTTCCAAATTCTCCATTGATTTCTCTCCTGTTATTTCAAAGTCACCTTTATTGAGATAAGCATCTGCTACATTCCCCTGTCAGAGACAGGATACTAGGCTGAATAGACTTTCAGCTTAATCCAGTCTAGCTGTCATAAAGTCTTACAAACTGTAAGTTCCAGAAATGAAAAAGATCAAAATTATTAGTGGAGGTTCAAAAATATAATACAATCATACAAAATAATTACTGTCAGGACTCCTTCACTTTACAAACATATAAAATGCTCTTACTCTGAGGGTGAGAAGGGGGAAAAAATCCTTCCATTAGAAAATATAGTCACAAAGTTTTGAACAAATAAATTCACACACTGCAGAGTACACAAACACACATGCATGCAGGCATGCACGTACATACACGCAACACGTGCACACACACACACACACATGCTTAGAGTTTACACTGCATTCTTCTGATGCCATGATTATTATTTTATTTGTACACCCACCTTTACTGCACATTCTAAACAAACAATAGACAACAGTGTAAGAACTTTTTTCCTTAAAACTGCAACAAAACAAGTCTCAACATTTGCAAAACATTCCTTTATTATTAGAAATAAATTATTTTGTATAAAAATTAGCATGCGTTGATCATTGCATTTATTTTAGCATAACCCAGTACTTAATTCAGTCAGCCGTCACAAGAAACAAACTCATCTTCTTTTACGAGTTGAACAATGTAGGACAGGAAAGGAAATTGTCACAATCACAAAAAAGTACTTACAAATATAACATCAGACATGATTTGTTTCAACAGCATTTTTTTTCACAAGCTAACATTTTTTTCCTTTTGTGATTTACTTCCTTTTGTGAGTGAACAGTTCAGAAGCTTGACGCTCTGTCTCTACCTTATAAAACTGGACTATTCCTTCCCTTGTCATTTTTTGCTTTTTGCCTCTTGTTTAATCCTTGTCCTTTAGGAGACTGACTATTGATTTGAATGTAGTCTACTAATATTTCCAAGACTGAATTTTGGTGGTGGTAAAGTCTTTGTTTGCAAGATCCCATCCTGTAGGTCTTCCAGTGAATTTCATCCCTGCTCAGTTTGCCTGATTGCTGTAACTGACATAAGTTGTCTTGGTAGAGGAGGCTGTAAATCAAAAAACCAAAAACAAACAACAACAAAAAACAAAGTTCAGGATTTTTAGAATCAAGAGAGAAGGAAAAAAAGAAACATATTTAGCATTTGAACTCAGATGGTGTCCAGCTATATTTCCAAATAAAATGGCCCATGTTCATGGAATAAAGTAAGAAAGTTTAAGCATGTATATAAGCAGTGAGTAAGTTGGATCTCAAGTTCTGTGTTATTGATGATAACTTATTTTGTTTATGACTTGGGGAAACAGAGGTCAATAGACAAGAACAATGATGAGTGGTTTTAGCATACTTGTAACAGAATTTCAACATACTATTTGTCTGGTATTATTTTGGTTGATTTCTGTATAGATGTTTTTTAATTTAGAGCTTGGATTTTTCTCTCTCTTCTACTGGTTGAAGACAACTTTGCAGCTAGTAGTGAGTTGTCCATCTAGAAGGAGGCTTATGCTCCTTGAAAGGAGCAAAGCCCAACATGGGAAACATCTCTCCAAGTTAGCAAAACTGAGTAGTAATGCCTACATCACATATTCTCTGGAGAGCCTTCAGACACAAAGCATATAAGTGAGCCAGCAGAAATGCTTATGAGAGCATAGGCTGTATTTTAGAGCTGTCATGCTATTATAGTCTCCTTATGTTGATGGTCAGCTGATCATTTCTTCCTTTGGGCAAAGCTGATGATACCCCTTGTTCAGAATGAGGCAATATGGTGAGAAAGTTAAACAAAAAAAAAAAGTGAACAACTATGAATCTTATGTGGAAGTTTGTGTCAGCTTCTAGCCCTTATATCTTATCCTTTTGCTGTAAAAAATATGTCCCAAGTCTCCACTGTTGTGTTAAGGTAGTGGTGGGAACAGGGAAGTGGTGACATCAGGTCTCACAGGCAGATCCCTAATTTTAAACCAGTTGGGTACCTGGCAAATCAGACTGCTGGGGGACTGAGTCTCTTTTTTGTCTCTATAATAAGGTCTATGTCACACTGCATAAAGAGGAATTTGGCTTCCCAAATATGTTTTCTATTCCTTCTGCTACAGACATGTTCTGCTTATGATAGTGAAGACTGCAGCTGGCAGGATGAAAATAATTTGATGGCACAAAAGTTGTCTGGTCTATAGATTCAAAGATCTTAATTCTATTCCCATACCTTCCTTCCTTCCTTCAATTTCTTTTTTCTGTATAGAATCCAGTGGGAACAGCTGAGATAGATAGGAAAAGGATTCATCATGCTAACTGCTAAATCCAGCCCAACACTGTGATGATTTGGGAAGAACAGACTACAGAAACCAAGAAATGACAGTTTCTCTCTCCTGTACCAAAGATTAAACTAAATCAAGATCACTAAAATTGCTGCAAAATAATAGTAGGTAGTATAAATAACTAAGTTTGCTGCTTGCTTTTTCTTCATGTTTTCTTTGAGTTACTGGGCAATTTGATTCTAATATTACATTTGCCATTTTGTAAGACACAACAGAACCAGACCATTATAATTCATATATCACAATAATTTTTGTTCCCTAAGAATGTATATATAAGAATGAATAATCAAAAGGATGCTGCAAAACTTAATATTTCTTACTTCCACTTGTACAGGTAGCTCCAGTACTTTGTGTCTGGAAGAGCTAGTTCATGAAAGGATTGTTTTTGGCACACTAGGCAAGTCTTTCACATAGTTGAATACGGTATTCCAGCACCCACATGAAATAGCTTTATTTGCATGTATTGGGACACTTGAAGCAAATATAGCCTCATTTACATTTTTCAGATCTTTCAGATGGGATGTACTGCTCCCATCTGAACTCTCCCATGCTCCCACAGCTGGATTTCTGAGAGGATTCTATTTTTCCTTTGGCCTGTTAAGTTCCTTCTGAAAATAATGCAGGACTGCTGAAATGGCACCGAGTTCCTTAGAGCATAAAAGGATTTTGTTCCCAGCTAAGAAATAACAAATAAATGCACATCTGCAAACTCTGCACTCTTGGGAACAAAAGGATGGAGGGAGCAGAGCTTATTTTTTTCTGTCACCCTGAAAATAGGCTCAAATACGTGATCAGGTTAAGCTAGCTTACCACATTACCCTGTATCAGCTGAGTTCTATGATAACTTTTCATGTGTATGTTTTTAGCCCACAGCGATGTAACATAATCGGATTTATCACAACTCAGTAAGCTGAATTATGTGAGGACGTTTGCAAGAAGCTCAAAATAAAAAAATAAGTAGCTACTACACCTCAGCTGATTTAAAGTAACTTGTTAATTTGCTGTAACTTTGTTGTATGTCTGAGACTTAAATAGCTTTGACAGAATTAATCTAGGACTGATCAAGAAACAAAAATTATCCTATTGAGTTCTGAGTGTTGTTACTTTAAAAAATGATAGCACAGGAAGCTAGTGTAAATAGTAGTTCAAAATGTATTAAATCTAATCTCATCTCCAAACAATGGTTTTTTACTTGATGAATATTGCAAGCGTCTTTATAGTTCACTGTAATAAGCCTACAGTTTCTGTCTGGGGATCTGAAAGTTTCAGCAACTGGTGTCCTGCTCTTTAAGACTGTTAGCATTTCATAGTAATAACATGAACCACATTTGGCAAGCATAGGTGGCCAGAGAAAGTAACAGACTTGCCTCAAAATATTTCTGGGAATGAACATTCTTTTCTAGCTCCTGTTACTACATTGCTGTTGGAATGAGACAAAAAGAAAAAGAATAAAATAAAAGAGGATCTAAAGCAATTTAGAATTATTATTGTGATCTGACCTATATGCATTTAAAGTACTTGTCATTATTATGCCTTCTGTAATTGCATCTGGATATTTTTTTTTTCATCCTGTTTCCCAGATACAATTTGTTTTCCACTGAATATGAATGTATTTCCACAAAAAACCATGACTGTATTCATGCAGGGACAACATGGAATAAAGTCTGTTACATGGAATAGGACAAACCAGACAGAGCAGAGCTGTCTCTGGATGGGAAGCAAAAGGAATTACCTGACGGTCTCATCTTATTTCTCACCTGGTTATAACCATTGTTATCAGTACCAGTATTTGTGCTTGGGAAATGGCGGGAAACACTTGCCACCCACTTCTGGTATACTAGGAATAGCCTGATTTGTTGCGATCAGCTTCATATACTATTATTGAAAAGAAACATCTACCTCACATGGAGTCAGCACAAGAAGAAATTTTGCAATGTTGAGAGGTTGTTACTATTGACCTAGTGAAAAGAACTTACGTAGCATTGTGCACTGATAATTCACAGGAACCTACAAAAGTTTTGACAATAACTATTTTGGCAGAAAAGAGGGAAGTTGATAAAATCCAAATGGTACAGAACAATTTTGGGGAAGGGAGAAACCCATCTTGAGGCCAAGAGCTCAATTATATAAGGACACCTCTCTGGAGTGCAAATAACTTGACTCTGAATTTTTGCCTATGAAACATTATGATGCCTGGATCAAAGCCTAGAGAGGATATACTCCTAGTGAGCTCAGAATTATATAGATGTGCTACTGTTAAAATCATGTTTAGAGCACAGTAAATAAGCATTACCCTGCACACATCACACTACTGGAGAAGCAGACTTGCTTCCAATAGCAGCTGTTTCCATGAATTATGCATAATCATAGTTTAAGGAATACCAGACACAGCATTTCTTAATTAGGTACAGTAGATAAACAACAGATGCCCAAGACTTTCTTATTAACACTCTTTCTCACCCTACTGTGGAATCCCTCCTTTGACCTTTCCTCAGAAGTTTATCATTTTGCAAACTCAGCAAAATCCACCTCTCCCTTCTGAATTTTCTTTTGGTGACTTCTGAAGATTTGAGAAATTATTGAGTTCTTATATTTCCATGCTATTATTTGATCAACAAGGAATTTCATTGCCTTTCTCCTTTTGTCCTTTGTTATATGTCATAATCTGAAGCTGTATAAACCCATAGCTCAGTCTAGCAGATTTACACATTTTGAAGGGTCATGAGTTTTTCAAGTGAATTGGTTTGCACTCAGTATCCTCCATGCATCAGCAACTATAATATGGTATACTTATGGACTATTTTTATATAGTCTTCAATCTGGCAAACTCTGATTGAATTCAGTGGGGGGTTGCATTTTTCTGAAATAAGTACAATATTTTTCTGCAAACTCGGTACTGACTTGTCTGAATGTACTCAAGCAAAATAGTACTATTTAATCTCCTGTCAACATCAACAAAAAGTAATAAAAATTCAAAAAAACCCCCTCATTTGCAGTAAAATGACTGAAAAAATTGTCTTTAACTGTAATAGCTGCTGTCCATTCCATATGACCTCTAACTCCTCAATAGAAACCAATTCTCCTTTACTACTAAGCTCTGGGGATAAAGTTACTGGCTCTACTCATATTTGATTATTATTATTGTGAAGTCCAGTTCATAAGACTGTATGTCATGTGGTGGAATGGAAGATATAACCTCTGTTTTCTTCTATACCAGAGCAATTTAAAGATGTGTCAAGATTCAAGAACTTTTCTGACATGGGAAAGAACTTTTTTCCATTACTAACCCATGACGTATTAGAACATGTAATGATTAAGCTGTATATGAATTATCACGATTTTGTACCAAGATGAGTAGGACCACAATAAAAACCTGGATGGAAAATGTTATTCTGGGAAGCATTAGTACTCATGAGTTGTGATAAATGAACAAGTCAACAAATATTAAGTTAAAGTGGAAAGGTAAAAAGTATTATTTTCACTTCTGTATCTAACTGCCAAATAAAAAGTTAGCTGTTTTCATTATATTTTTTTCAACAGCCTTTGAGTTTTGAATATACAATGATGACCATAAATACACCTCATGAACTGTCAGGACATACCACGACTGGCACAGCAATGCACAACACATCAAATTAGCACTAGCTAAAACAGATCATTTTAAAAAGATGCAGCTTTCCAAAATCTGCTTGTGCTTTTTTTTTTTTTTTTTCTTTTTTTACTAGCCTTCTGTGAAAAACAATTTGTTTGAAACAACTCTAGGCATTCCTGCATTCGGCAGTACATGAATTCTGACACATCTTCACTGGATTCATGCAGAACAAGCAACAAAAAGAATAAAGTTTATTATTAAAAGAAAGTGCATTCTTGTGAACGTACATCTATTAGGAAGTGCTGCCACTCTTGACCATGGGAAAGTCTACAGATGACTTACTGTTGGTTTCAAGACTTTCACACAGTTCAGTTTTGACCTCGCCATTTGGTCTGTCATTTCCTTTTTGGGTCAGTTTGCTTTGCATTGTGGCAGCTGTCACTACAGCCTTGAAGCTCCGCTTCCGTTTTTGAACATTCTGCTCTGGATGAAAAATGATAATATAAACCTTGGGCATGTAGAGCATGCCCAGAGACACAGAAGCACTTAAACTCATGGAGACAGTAAGTGTTGTTGTCTGGATGTACATCTGGGGAAGGAAAGAAACAACAACATAAAAATCATTGTTATATTAATTTAATATAAGAAGGAAAATAAAGTAATTGACTTAAAATTACTAGGTAGAAAGGGAACCAATAACATTCTTCCTTTTCTGTACATACATCAGAAGGACCCTTGACTTTGGTTGCCTTTAATTATAGTCAAGTATGGCTGTTTCATGTTGGTTTTTTAACCTTAAGAGTAGATGGTAGAAACAACATAATATTTATTAAACTTAATTCTCATAAAAGTAATCAAGATGTTGTAGCAACTGCATTTTCAGAAAATAAACAAATATATCTGTACAGGAAAAGAGGAGTGACAATAGGGTTACTTTGTATCATCTACTTTAATACACAGAAGCCTCTACAACAATATTCCATGTGGTGATTCAGCAGTGTGTGCAGCATGGTTCAACCAGCAGCAGGCATAATGCAGAATCTAATTAATTCTTTGATATATTCTTTGAGTTTCAAGCTTGGGGGAAAAAAAAAAATAGTTTCTCCGTAGTGAAGCTTAAATATTCTTGAGTTTGGGAGGGGGTTGTTTGTTTTTAACATTTCCACCTAACTGTTGAATTCTAGTCACAATGCTCTGTTGGCACACAATAAATACATTAATTTGTCACAGTCCTAACTCAGAAATCAGAAAATCGGGGAACCAGGAAATCAGATCACAAAGGACCTCAGTCCCCTATAGATACGAAGGAAAAATCTGACATTTCTGAGTAAGTCTGTCTATTGTTTGTTACCACCTACAAAATGAAAGCAACTCTGGTCTTCCATAGTCCCATAAAAGAAAATGACAATGATCACTCTGTAAGAACAGCAGAGAGAAGTTTCTATCTGGAGAAGTATTCAGATAGTGTGTTAGAAATACTAATTGTAGTTCTGCTCAACATTTATTTTTTCTTAGGAAATTATATTTTATTAGACATTTTATGAGGCAACAATTTTATTTTACAATTCTCTGTGGTTTGCTAAACTGAATAGGAAATCTCTCAGTAATCATGTTGTTATGCTGAAAAAGATACTGAAGTAAAACCTGTTCATTGCCTTGGCAGTGGCTTCACTGACATTTTTGTCAGCCATTTTTTTTAAGCACTAGCCAATACTATCACATTAGCCTGGAGATAAGGTAGTAAGTCTGTCTGCAATGTCAGCTTCAGATCATCTGTTTTTATTAAGTGTCCTTGGGTAACTTGGCCCTTGGCAGAAAAGTAGAGATATAATAAACTGGTGTGCAGTCACTATTATAGTTGAACATTTTTTAATGTCTTTCAGCTTACAAAGTTTTTCCATTAGATAGTTTCTCCTTAGAGATCACAAATAAACTGTGCTCTCACTTAAAGCAATGTTAGGTGAGAAATGTGACAAATGTATTTTGGAAGTGTGGACTGTTACTCTGAACCACCTTGCAAAGTATCTGTGTAATTGTACAGAAAACTGCCAAATATTACCATAAAATGAGGGATAGCCCAATCTACTCTTTAAGAAAAGACTGGCAATGCTTCAAGATTTGTAAGAAGCTGAACCTGCTTTCAGGGACAGCACCAGACTGAAAAGACAATCGGGATTGTCTTCCTATTGTGTTGACAAAAGTTACAGGAGCAACACCTTCCTTCATTTCAATAATACATCAAGACAATACATCAGGAAATATACACAATACAGTCTTTTCTCACACCAGTGAAATAATTCTATTCCATTCAATCTCCAAAATGACAGTGGTGTGCCTGAAAGCAGAGCTTGACATACATTTTACATGAACACTTCTAAAGAAAACCTCACACAGTTACATTAATAAGCAGTTGTTTTCAGACTTCTGTGGAAGGATCTCTGTGCAGATGCATGTTCACATGCAAACAGCACCAATGACATATCCCTTTCTCTCCGAACCAGATTGTCTGATCTCCAATTAAACTGGTACAGCAGTGGCTTTTAGGGTTAAGTGTTGCATTGTGGCATCCGAAAGCAGAAGTATTTTGGTTCCTAAAGATGCATATATTTCCTAATCGGATTTGCAAAACTGAAATTAATGCAAGTAATACCTTTAACAAACTGTATTGCATATGAAAATTCCATTAAACATAAAAAATCCTTTTTTGAAGCCTTATCATTTTTTAAACTCCAACTCATCACAGTTAAGTGGCTAGTTGAGCCTCACTCATGGAATCTATAACAATGCCTGGCATTTAAATACATATTTTTTAAGTCCTTATCAAGTACCCAAGCTGTAAGGCTCGTCTTTCTCTCATAGTTCAGTATAAGAGTTACATGATAAAAAAGGATAAAGAACCTCTGGATGTTATAGGGTAAAATACATACATTCATGTAATAGTACTAGTCACATTAGCAGCAAATACATGCATTATGGTAAATCTCAATGAACTTTTTTGTGATAAGAAGTCCCACAGTACTAAGTTCTTACAAATACTAAAGAGAAAACATGTCTGCCTGAAAGTTTACATTCAAGTAAGCTTCATAAGTGAATCAACTCTAAATCTGATCATGCATTCACTGAAATAATTAGAGCCCATGGATTGCAATGCACTTAGTGCAAGTATTTTGCATGAGCTATATCATTACATCTAATGTATTTTCTGTGGATTTAATTGAAATGACCAGCACAACAGCCTATTTAAAAAAATCCAAATCACAGATAGTTTCACATTGCAGATTACAGTTCATATGCAGTGGGATTTATTTCTAATGATTGCTGTGTTTTTGAACCAGCCATTATAATTATTGAAACATTAAAACTAGAATGATTTGGGAATTTTCCAACAGAACAGTTTTCAAATAGTGAATAGAGTCTTTAGAGGGCTTCGGCCTCAGGGATACTGTTTTGCATGGATCACCCTTACTACTTACTCTTTAATGAAGCTAATGAGAAAGAAGGGCTTCAAGAAACGTGCTAGACCTTGAGAGGAAGGCTTTGAACATACACTTACATGTACACATTCTGTGTGGTGTGTATATCAGTCTGACTCCATACGTTAATGCAATTGCATACTCAGCTGGAGACTTGTCAATGACAGTCTGGGTCTGATTCCTTTTCCTATTAGAATCATAGAATCATAGAATAGTTTGGGTTGGAAGGGACCTTTAAAGGTCATCTAGTCCAACCCCCCTGCAATAAGCAGGGACATCTTCAACTAGAACAGGTTGCTCAGAGCCCCGTCCAACCTGACCTTGAATGTTTCCAGGGATGGGGCATCCACCACCTCTCTGGGAAACCTGAGCCAGTGTTTCATCACCCTCAGCGTAAAAAATTTCTTCCTTATATCTAGTCTATATCTACCCTCTTTTAGTTTAGAAACATTACCCTTTCTTTTATCTCAACGGGCTTTACTTCTTTTTAAATGGTCCTTTGCAGTCTGAGTCTGCTTATAGGACAGGAACATCCCTTGCATCTAATATTTTCCATCTTTGGAGTGCCCCTTCTTGCAGCCTGATGAAGCACAAGTCTAGCAAACAGGATGCCACACACTTGGTTTGACTTTGTTTGACTCTTACCTTGTTTTATCCCTGACAAGAGGACAATGATGTTTTATGGCTGTGCATTCTGGGTACTTTTATTATTCTGGGAACATAACTACTTGTAACTTTTACAGATTTAGCTGCTCTAAAAATCAAGGAGCAACAAAAGTAGTTCAGCTTAATAAGATATGAGGTCTGAATAATTTTTCATGTGTCTCACAGTGGTAGCTCACTCTACAGGAGAATAAAGGTCCCTTTCTCACAACGATTCATGGTTAACAGAAATGAATTTCCTCACGCTAAAATCCCTTCTGAACCACAAACTTTTTGTCCAATAAAGCCTTTCACAGATGTAACAAAGACTGCTATATCTATTCTCCTTGTTCTTGACAGTCAGAAGATATAAGACAGAAAACTAAAACCATTGTAGCACAAGAAAAAAAAATCTTTATACTGTGGGAAAAAAATTTAGGCCTAAATACCTTCCTGTTTCCATCCCCCATCCCAACCCCACACCAGAACAGATACAGGACTTCTTATGTACCGTTTTCCACCTCCACAATTGACAAAGGATCCCTCACAACAGACTGTCTCATGTAAATGATCTAGACCCTGTGTACCCACTCAGACACATAATCTGTCTATCTTACAAATGACCTGGACCCTTTCCTCATCAGAAGGGTCCTACAAGCTTGGTAATATAGCTTCTGACTGCCTCAGCAGCTAAAATAGATAATGACTGTGTGGATATTTAGGGATTTTCTATCTTCTACAATTGATTCTAGGAGTACGTGTCTCCTTCTTTCTACTTTGAAAGTTAAATGCGACATAGGAAATATTGGGACACCCAGAAAGGATATTTTAGAAAAACACAGATTCTCTGATGGCTTCTTCAATTTGGAAGTACTTGAAAGTGAATTGCCTCCTTGGTAACCTGAAAAATTTTTATGCATCAAAGCAGGTGTGCGCACCAAATTGTCCCAGTGCAGGTAGCTGCATGATTACCTCTCAGCTAGGTTTCACTGCTTAGAATTGAAATATCCCCCAAGTCCTGAGTAGTGTCCCATCAGTTTCGTGCTTGCAGAGGCAATGTCATGCACACAGCATGCCTTGAGTTCAACACAAAGCAACCACTTTCATTAGAGAAAAAAAATAGTGGTAATGTCACAACTTTTGTCCAGATTGCTTCCCTGGTTTGAGTCCTCCCCTACTTTCACACATAAGATTATATTCAAGCTCTCTTCAGAATTATGGTTTTCTCATGCTATTTATTTTCCGTTTCTACTCAGTTTTAATAGGTCATATAGAGGATACCTCCCACCCAGCCTGTTCCCTAATCTGGTTTTAATAGTATATCCTGAATAGGTGGGAGATATGGCTATTGTGATCTCTTGAGTGAATTGAATCTAAGTTTTCCACTTTGGTGCAAGTTCTTTAACTGCTAGTAGTGGTAACACAGAAGATGAACTGAAGTCCAGTAGTTAGTGAAGTGCTAAACCACAAAGGG